TGTGTAATTAACGTTTACAAATATTCTGGTCACAACGAGGGTAATCACAGATAAGTTATCGTGTTTCTTAACTATTGCGGAGCCTGTAAGCTACGACTTGGCGCGTTTCCTTTTGCCGCTGAAATTTCTGTTGCATTCGGTGCTTATTCCAATTAAAAGTTGCTTCTAACCTGTTTCCCGGCTTACATCTGCGCCACAGCGAAACAGCCAAATATAAAGCGAGAACCATACGAAAATTAACGTTCACAGAAAGTAAAGAGAAAGAAAGCATTACAAGAAAGAAAAAGCGTAATTCCAAGAAGTACCTGAGCAGCAACTTTTCGAACTGCCGCTTTATTTCCATTTTTTGCTACGTTTTAAGAACACGTGGCTTAAAAACACCGAAGAAAGAACGTTGCCGAAATAACCAAATGACTTTAAACTGCATTTAAGAGCATTGAGGGAATTAACCACGTTTTATCACGATTCGTTAGAAAATTACTTTCCGTGTTAATTCGAAAATTGGATTTTACGATCTGTTCTCTTTTTACAAAATAAACTGTTCTGTGTGCAATAACAAAAAATATATCTACTCTATTAAATGGCCCATAAAATCTCTTCACGTTCGTTTTACGAGCTGGATGCTGTGAAAAAGAGATGGAGACTCGCAAAAGGAGTTTAATTACTTCATTCCTAATCCATCGCGGCTGATAGATACGGATTCGAGCTCCTCGTAAATTCTGCCACCACCACATTTCCTCATTGGAAGACAGGAACTGTACAATCGTCCTTTATCTTTTCCTCGCATGGTACCGTTATGATATCCTCGTTTTGTAACTATTTTTACGGGCACTCAGATTGATGTAGGAAGTGTTGTACAAATGGAAAAGAGGAAATTTTTTATGGAAAGATACTGTTAATTAATATGTTCGATTTTAATGTCAAGTGAAGAATGACATTATTGCAAAAAATGTCATAAAAGAGGAATTCAGGAATGCCTAGGTAAAGTTCGAGAAAACATAAAATGTAAATTTTATCAAAAATATTTTATATATCTTTTGTTTCTGACGGATTTGTTTCTAAGAAAAATATAACGCACTAAAATTTGGACCAGTTTCATTGAAAATAAATATATTCATGGTTTAACACAACATGTAACGCGAAAAGATTAATAACTGCGGAAAATTCGAATAATTTGAAAAATTTCATTCATTACCAAGGTACACGAGTTATGTTTATGCTCCATATATTCTTATATTCCAATATTCTCTCAGAGTTTAAAGTTAATAAGAGAACGAAGGGCATTAGTCGCGGGAGTTTTCTTCTTTCGTTCATTGCAAACGTAGTTACGTGACAACCCCGATCGTACCGCTATTCACGGTGCTTTATTGCTCTTATTATATAGCATAGTTTCAAAGTACCACATTTGATACCTTCCTCTCCTTTCTTTCGTTTATGATCCTTTGAACCCCCTGATCCTTCGTATATACACCTAAATGTACACATAAACAGGGAAAAGTACCGCACCGATAATTACAAATCTAAAAGAAACAGGTTTTCTCCGAACCACGATGCAACTTCCGACTATCAACGTTCACGTTCCAAGAATACTGTGCTCGATTCCCAATAGATTCTCAAGATCATTTGCATTCGTTCGACGTACGAAGATCGACGAGACTGACCTAAAGAGTTGCGGCCAGATTGACGCGACTCTCTTCAAGATTTTCTCGTCTTTTTAACTGCTATTTAACAGAGAAGATCGTGGATCACGGATCTAGAAATTTGAGCACAGAGCGTAAAATTAGTTAGCTAATATTTAATTAATTTATAAACGAGGGAAATGAGAAATCTATTTCAACTGTAAATTAGATAAATTTGGTTGGTTGCATTTGTAATTATGAAAATTATTGGGTTATTTCGTGAGTGGTTTAGTTCCATTATTAATTACGAGAATTATTATTTGGACAGCTTACATCATCACAGTATTGTTTTTTACCATCCACTCCTTTTATTATAGATTTGATAGGATAGATGGAGAACTATATTATTAAGAATAACGAAATAATGAATTCGAACAAATGATAATTGACTTTAACAATAATTTGTACTCTCGCCCTCGTGAACTCTGTACATCGCGCCTGCAAAATTAGTCAGGAGAACCCTTAATTCAAATTAACCACATACACCGCCAAAGGCGTCCACGTTTGCGATTGCAAAAGGTTACTGCAGAATCTAATTGTTATAACAGCACAAGCAAACTAAATAGTACAAAATATATAATAGAAAAACACAGCGTAAATTACTACAAATGAAATAAACTTTATGTGCAAGCGAGAAAACAAGAAAGTAAAAGAGATAGCGTGGGTCGAAATGACGCGCGATGCTCAATGGGAACACTCGGACTGCTTTTCTTCCTGCCTTTCTTGCGCGTTTCCATTGTGCCCAGTGAAAACGTCGTAAAAATGCGAGTCAAAGGTTTGCCAACGTTTTCTCTGCTCGCCTTTATTCTTTTAACACCTTTCCCCAACGACATACCATTGTATTCTAACTAAAATTTATGAAAATACTAATTAATAGCTACAAAAAGACAGTGTCTACTCTCTTGACCTCTGATCCAATAATCCCATCAGTAAAGTCACTGTGGATGTTTATGCATTTGTGAGAAATTCAATGGTGTCAAAATACACAGAATGCACAAAATATGCAAAAATATATAAAATATCTAAAGTATAATACTAGTTAAAATATTTAGTAAATGAAAGAAATATGTGCGTAGGTTCTATTTTTTTAGAGTGTGTTCATAAAAATACCAGTTTGGATAATCTGTAGTCAGTGTTAAAGACATCATGGTTTTGTGCAGAAAGAAGCATTGTAAGCTTGGATTTTAAACGTAATTTCCAGATGTCTGTTAAAATATTGGCGCGTATGACAAGTTCCTGACAACCACGAAATCGATACGATTTCGAAATGGGAAAATGGACGTAGCCGGTATTTTATATGTTGTTGGATACCCTGTCACGCGTATTACCGAATTGTACGATGTTCTTTCCAAATGAGCGTGATAGAATCGTCGAGGAAATGAAAAGATTGCTGTCTTGGAACGTTGATAATCAGCAAATGATAATATTGATATTTTCACAGTTAGTTTTGTCAGTTTAGTATAATGTTATTTACATGCGCAGCGTAATGAATTGACTGAGGAGCTTTGTGCAAATTTATATTTCTGAGAATATAATTAGGAAAATAGAACCTTGGCAGAAAATTGTCCCTACTAAGTATTATAGAAATAATTAGTACCACATTAAATAATACCACAAAGTTTAGTAAAGAAAAAAAAGGATACAATTAGCTTTTAACGAGATGAGAAACACACATGTTTAGTAACATAAGATTATTCGGCAGCGTATTGAATTAAAAAAAAGTAAAAAATCTAAATTATCATATTTGTCCTCAATAGCCTTCTTACTTAGTTAAATGTTCGATTGTCTAGAAGCTTTATCGTTTTAGAAATTAAATTAAGTCAAATTCATGCTTGATCAGCAGAAAATATGTACGTTCTACGTAATACTGAAGTACCCGTCGTAGAATATATAACTAAGAGGACTATTTCTGAATATTCAAAGAAAACCAAGATAACCTAAACTGAATCACACTTCGCAAGTCAAACCACAAACACGCCATAAAACCAACTTCTAAGTAACACAAAATCTCCAACGAGTTTTCCTATTTCTTATTCCACAATTCATCCTCTATAATCGCGATTACAAAACCACTTCCTCGACGATTAATCAATTGAAATTTCTTCGAACAAAGCTTCGAACGAACACCCGCAGAGTTGATCCCGAGGCAAGAATACAGGAAAGGGGGACACGTTCATGGAGCAAAGTGTCGCGTAAAAGGGCCAGAGGGGGTAACACGATCCTGAGTTATTCCTACGGTGAGTTATTTCTCATGAAAGACGGATGCAAGGTGTAGGTACGTGTATGGAACAGCAAAAGGAACGGCAGCAACAGCGACCGAGCAACGAGATTATCGTTTCTCGTCTTCCACATTTCTACTTCCCCCTTGACTCCTCTACCCTCATCCTGAAATTCTTCTTTAGCAAAACAAAGCTGGACTTCCATTTCACACGCGAATATTCGCGTCATAACGATGAGATCTTCCAAACGCGCGTTTTTATTCCTTTTACCTTCTCCTGGTGCCTTTCGTGCCTCGAGATTGTTTCTTTCGAAATTAGGGACTGCGTGGATGATATCTTCAGGATATTTGGGCTTTATTTACCCTGAATAGCATTTCGTGGTCTCTCGAGCGTCTTTATACGAGGAAAAATGGTTTTAGCCAAGTAGTTTCCATTTTACCACTAGAAAGCGAATTGGGAAAATATTGCTGTTAAAGTTTCTGATTCAATTCGTGAGTAATGTTGAGTTCAGGTAGAAATTTGAGAAAATCTTGTTGTTCTAACAGAAAACGATACGAGATGTTAACGATTTTTTAAAAATACGCTTACAGTTCCAGTATGTAAAAGAATTGTGCGTATAATAAGATGACATAGTCATATGCTACTTAAATTCTCCATTCCGGAAACACGTGTTACGATCCTTGTAGTACTTGGTTTGAATACGTTTCATATTCAATGTTAAAGGATTGTTTATTAAGCATTAAGATTCATTTTAACGATGCTGTAATCTCCGAATTTTATTACTATCGATTCTTTTCAAATATGGCGTTTTACATCGAACGCGACGGGTCACCCGTGGCTTTTAATTCGAAATTAGCAGAGCTAATGAGTGAGACTCATTTGACATAAATTCTACATTCTACGTTTCCATATTTTGTACAAATTACGTTGATTAAGATAATTCGATCGATAACGTTCCTCATTCAACCTGCGGCAGTGATTTCAAAAACAGTAAAATTGAAAAGAATGTATCGAGTGGGTGTTCTGTCGAAAACGTTTTGTAATTATCGTTAAAGTTGAATAAAATAATGAGCAAAATAAAATAAAAAGCTTATATACTCACGTGTTTTGCGAAGACGTCGTGCAAGCATAATCCTATAATAAATATAAGAAGCACCGACGACCTGAAACAAAATAATATTCTTCTTTACAATCTCGTTTTATCATCAAAATTAACACTTTAATTAGTATCTTACCAATAACTAATTTGCTGCGATCGTGATAAAAATGATAAACGAATATATCGTATAATAAGTCATAAATCCTTAATGAATACTTCGTTGTATACTAAACTATACTTTATTTCATTTACCTCATAACATCCTTATTATATAAATCAAAGATAGAAAAAAAAGTAAAACCTAACTTAAATTTAGGACAAATATAATATTCTCTTTTACAATCTCGTTTTATCACCTAAATTAGCGTTTCAATTAACATTAGAATATTATCTAATTTTCTATGATCATGATAAAAATGATCATAAGATAGAGGAATGCAACTATACCGTATAAATTTCTAATCGGCATCTTCTAAGATTTATCTGTACAAAATTTACTTCGTAACATTCAGTTTAGTACTGAAATCAAAGATTGAAGGAATCTTGACTCGAACCTAATCCGAACCTGAAACGAACACAATATCTTTACAATCGCATCTTATTGTCTAAATTAATATTTTAAGTAATACCACAGCGATATTTAATTTGTCATAGTCATGATAAAAATGATCAACGATACAATCATATTCTGTCAAATAAATACCCAATCAGTACCTTAAATTGTACTTTACAACATTCACTTTATAACATCCCCTTTATTACTTGAATCAAAGATAGAAAAAAGACAAGACAGGTAATAATAAACCATGGCTGAAATAATCACGCGTGTCTGCGTCACGATCTATTCACATCTGTCCTTTTCACGATTCACACATTCACCCATACGAATCAATCACTCGGCCATCCAACAAGTAATACCGCCAATTAAACCACCCAAGAAACCGCAAGCTAATTACAAACCGCGCCGTCGTTTTCCACGATAAATCAAACGCAACGGGACCAATGCACGCGAGGCAAACTGGCGAGGAAACTGGTCGCCGGCAACATTGACCCAGACTTTGATTCTTGCGTGAACGCTGCGACGAGTTTCACCGCGAACTTGTCCCGCAAGTAGTTACGTCAGCCTTGGATACGCAGTTACGTGTGTCATTAGGTGAAACGAGTTCTGGCCGTCATCGATATTACTGACCGTAGTTACTGGAGAAAGGAAAAATGATTCTTAATTCGAAGATTTCTGAAATGAGAATTTGCGATCAGTACACCATGGATTTTTATGCATTTTTACGAAATTTGAAGATATAGAAATACACACAATGTATATAATATGGAAGAATATAATATGTTTGGTAAAAAATTTCTATTTAAATTGGATTTATATACGTCCATAGACATATAAAAATTTATAAAAAGTCTGATAATGAGGTTTTCGTGTCAAGACACGCTTTCGTAACTGAGGAGTTGAGATGGTAAATGGTGTAAGTGCTAAAAAAAAAAAAAGAAAAAATAAGAAATGACCCTTTTTAGTGGATAAGGATGAAAATTCTATGGGAAATACAGAGAAAAAAGATTAGAATAATTTATTGTAGCTTTTTACCCTCTTATCCTCACGACGCAACGTAGCGTTACTAAACTAAATAAGCGTATTTAATGTTGATAAAACAGATCGTAATTTTAATGCATTATATTTTCTATTATTCTATAATAAAAATATATGTATATATTTTGTGAAAAATTTAATACGGTGAGTTTATAAATTCTATTTAAAAGTTTAAAAAATTCATACAAATACACTGTTCTAAATCTATAAAATCTCTATGAAAAATTACAAATTGGACATTTGGACTACTGTAATAATTGTACAACTGAAAATATAAATATATCTTCTCCCAATTGATTCTCAAAGGAAATCTGTCAATTGTACAGAATTGCAAATACTCCTATCGAGGTATTTTCGCAGAATCTTCGTGGGAGTTCTATCGAATGTGGAGAAATACGTGCGGCGCCTTAGTTTCAAGAAGTTCTGAGTTAGTATGCGAGTCTCACATCTGCAATTCATTCTAGATTTCACTGGAATCCCAATGGAATTTTGGAAAATGTAGACTGGATTCCGGATGTTAGTTTTAAGCAGTCTGCTATCCATCCTAAATTCTGTGTATAACAATCCATTTCGGCCACCGAGCGTCTAACATAGATTGTAGATTAATATTAAGACTAGTATCAAGGTCTGGCATTGAGGTTTATGCTAACATTAAGTTCTGGATTAACTACAATTATAATATCGTAAATTTCATATCCTAGATTATGCTACATATATACAATATAATTATTAGAATCTATCATTCTATTCAATCAATCTATCAATCTATCAATATCAAGTCATGTTTTTAACATCAACTGTTCTTTTGCAATTCGTTGTAACTTTATCACACAATGAAACATTAAAAAAAATTTTAATATGACCCAATTTCACTCTACATGTACGAATACATACATATACATAAACAATTGGAAAAATAATATCAAAACGTCTGAATACGTAACGAAAACGACGTGAGATATATGATGGAAGCCACGAAGGTCTCTAACTCTCAGAATTTATCTAATTAAGCTGATAAGATAGCATCTCAAGAATGTCGTCGACGTCTTCACCTGACAAACTGGAAATTCAAGATATTCTCCGTGCGTTACAAAACTGGAACGAGCCACTGGGTAATCGAGCCGATGCTCTCCCTTGTGGACGAAAGGATTTATAGAGAGAACAGGCGAACCATCACGCGCTCGTTGTTCCCCGCCGTCGCGGCCGACGCGATAAATTATTTTGCAGCAGCCGCGAGGCTCCGCTCTCTTGCTATTTACATGCGAGCACGCGCCGAGGCTGCCGATAAATCTACCAACTGTCTGAAATTGTATGAATTAGTCGCGACGCTCGCTACTTTCTCGCCTGATTTATCGGCGAGTATCATCCGCCTGCGAATCAGGAGTTCTCACGTGGTACGAGTGCTGTTAGGTCGCAATTTCGTCGTGCTACCATGTAAAAGCGTGTTAAAGTAGTGGTTCCTGGGTGTTGTTTTAAGGAAACTGAAAAATTTATGGTGAAAAAGATTTATCTGTTCGTATTGATTTCTGATGAAAGTTAGTGGGAGGGAAAAATGGAACTTGTAAGAGTGGTATTCTAGGACTAAAATATTATATTATCACACAACAATGATACAAAATATCCTTTGTACTCATTAAAATCGTCATCTTTAGTGAATTATAAAATACTAAGGACACATATGCAGATTCTTTATTCTTATGCTAGTTATGCTCTGTATTTTTAGTAAATTTATAAAAGACCAGCAATGCATATTATATTACAGTATAATTTGTACCTTGTAAGGGTGCAATAAAGAAATTGGAACGGTATTACCAACAGATTAACAGTACATTAAAGACAAATTCTGGTAACTGAAAAAAATGTATATCCTTTCCTATCGCAGCTATCTCTATATGCATATAATAATTTACCTACTGTAATCTCATCTAATCTGTTTAAATTATCTCCTATTCTAATTTATCCTGAGATCACTCAATATAGTCTTCGAAGAAGTCACACATTCTTAAAGGAAGTTATAAACCCATTAAACAAAGTGGAAGTAGGTGTTACAAGTCTATAAACAAAAACCAATCATCAACAGACAAAACCGATCAGACCCTTTCATCCTCCGTCTCGAAAAATATTCGAGTAATGTTTCGAAGTAACAACGATTCGAATACACGTGTTGGAAGTTGAAACGTGCGAGTGCGCATCGATGTAAGTAGGAATGAAAAAAAAACGGCGATATCTTGAATCGACCGGTGCAACGACTGCTTGTCCATCGTCAAAACGTGAATGAACGTGTTTTTCTGCTGCATCGGCGCGCGTCGTTACGTAAGTTCTTTGAGTGGGCGTCATTCACTGGTTTGGAACGTTGCCCGGGAACTGGCGTGAGCCATTCGCTGTTCGAATCGTTGAATCGGATCGTGGCAACGAGAGATAGAAAGAGAAAGAAAGGGAGTCCGTGTTCTGCTATCGGTCGGAAGATATAATATTCTCGTGAAAAATGGCTCACCGGTGCTATTGGCCCAGAACAATGCGAGATGTCGTGCCGTTTTAATGGCCGGCGAACAACAATCTTGCCCCGGCCGGATATAAATTGCTAAAAAGCTCGCCGCCCGTAAATTTCGCCACGCAGCTTCCTTCGCGAATTATTTCCGGCATTTCCACCCCCCCCTCTCTCTCTCTCTCTCTCTCTCGCTGGTTGAAAAGGGATTTATCGCGCGGTGAATTATGCCAGAAAGGGAAAAAGAAAGAATGTTTGTTTCGGTTAACGGCATACTTTCCTTCGACGGGAAAATTTGAATTTTTATTGGAACATATCTCTTACACGATGGAACGAAATCGATCATAGTTGCATCTACATTTATGTTCTTGTACTTTGCAAGGTACTCTTGTATTATAATTTGTCAATGATATAATTAATTAAAATTTAGAATAATAGCAGCAGCAGTAAATAGAAGTAAATACTACTTCTAAAGGGTTGTTTACTTTTTGATGTTTCCCTTTCTCCCCCTTATCCTTCTTTCTTTTCATTCTCTTCCTTCCCCACAAATTACCTAAATTTTCTCAAAACATATAAATAGAACAATAAATAGAAATCAATAACATATTCAAAAATAGAGTTATTACTTTTATATCTCATTTTGCTACTAAAACTTCTTCCGATGATCCATCTAAACTCCATATATTCGCGTTCGAGTTGCATCATAATTCTACATGTACGTAGTATGTACGTGTAACGATAAATTTGATCGAATGAAACAGGCGAACGCACGAATACCTCTTTCGATCTACAATTACTTTGTAACCGGTCGCAGGTGTAAGATACTTGCCCGAGGCGGTTGCATGAAACATGACAGCGAGCCACAGGGACCTACGAGGGCGTTAATTGGAACGCAGTTTTCAGAGATCTAATTGCGTCCGCGAAATCCTCGTGTGATGTTTCTGTTCGCGCGTGAAACACCATGAAGCAACCGGTTTCACTG